GGTTTAGGAGGCTGCTGCGTATAACAATAGGCACTAAGATCGAGATATAATAGGCACTTAGGAAGCAATGGCTTCATAGGATATCGACATGGAAGATACACAGCGTACTAGAGAGGCTAGGCACGAGGACTATAGTAATACGGTTAACATAGATTGAACTTAACGAGGTCGATATAGATAGAGCCTAACAATGTCGATGTATATAGGACCTGATTACGTTCAATCCTATAAGCGGCAAACTGATTTAGGAGCGCTTTTAGTAATAGCTTACGTAGATCGTTATTTCGCGCTCGGCTTAGGCTAGCCTTCCGCTTCGCTGGACTTATTAGCACTCGCAGGGCTATAAGTATATCCTTGTAAGGTTACTTATAAGTATAGAGTTAAATATAGGGACGTCGTAGATTCTATTAATAGGTCGTATAAGTAGGAATAGCCTAAGTATAAAGTAAGAAAGAAGCCTAGGTAGAGCGAGAGGTTAAGAGATCTCGTTACCTACTTTTAAGATAGAACTATAATAAAAGTTAGACTTATTTAAGTAGCGGGTATAGTCTAATTTGCTTTACGTATAGTCTAAAATCTCCTTAATACTAAACTAAGCCCTAGCTAGCCGACCGAGCCCTAGCGACTAATTAATATCTTATCGATATACGTTAAAGATATTTAAAACCTCGCTAATAGCGAGGATAGTAACGTTAGCCCTACGGCCTACTCGAGTGCCGGCGACGCTTCGGAGGGCAAGCCTCCTACGCCGGTACGTCGCTCCTTGCTTCTATAGACAGAGAGGAGTATTATTCGAGGCGTTGTATAGAGTAATTCTAAGTAAAGCTGTTATATGCTAAAATCCTAAATCAAAAGTTCGGGTTATGCCCGGGCTCGGTCGGCTAGCTAGGGCTCGGTTTAGAGTCTAGGCTAAAATCTAGCCTAAGGGCTAAGACGCGTCGAGCACAGACAATAGGGACCTTTAGAAATAGTTAATTTGGCTACCGGCTTCCAAATAAGCGCTAGCTCCTAACCGTTATATAAAGGATTAATATAGCGCTTTTTACGGACCTTTAGAAGAGGCCAATTTGTATGTAATCGAAAGCGGTTTAGTGTAGTAAGGAGCCCCTATTCTAGACCTTCTAGGGGTATAGACCTTAGCTATAGACCTTAGCTATAGACCTTAGCTATAGACCTTAGCTATAGACCTTAGCTATAGACTAAACTATAGAAACTGGAGCTATTGTAGTTACTGCAGCTACTGTAACGGTTGTTGCTATTGCTAGTAAATACCTTAAGGAAGATAGTAGTAATAAGGACCGGTAGGCGCAGAGGGAGGGTGAATCTGTACGTAAATAGTAGCACCGCTAGTTAAGGCGTAACCGACTATTTAAACTAGCGAGAGTCTATAAGAAACAGCGCTTCGACCTTCTTAGTTATCCGGAGGCTAATATCTAGGGTAACTTCCGCTTTATAAGGCCTAAATTAGTAGAGCTAGCAGACCTGCTAGATATCGGTTTAATTGTGTTACTAGTCGGCCTCAAATTGCTACCTACGACGGTGCTTTATATAGTCTATAAGCGGCTATCTAGTCTAGGCTTCTAGAAGGACCTAGACGAGAAGTTTGGCTATTTAGCTACTATATTGAGTTACGTATTCAACGCGGCTATATATAGTCTAGCAATAAGGTAGAAGTCGTTCTTATTCTTTAATAGGAGGCGGCTTACTAAGCAATATCTCCGGAGCCTAGCAGAGTCGCTATATCTATCGGTCGGACTATCTAGTGTCTTTAGATATATTAACGGCACTATAAGGAAGATTGCGAGGCCTAGTCGCAACTAGAGGGTATTCTATAATAGCTATAAGCACTTCTATAGTATCAAATTCTAAGGTATACAGCTGCCGGATAGAATACTGCTTATCGATAGCCCTTATCCTAGCTCTTATAGGGACGGCCGAATAGTACGCGAGTCGGGGATCAACTAGGTATAGCATTACCTATTTAATAATAACAATATAGATAACAAGCTCTTTATATTCGGCGACTCTGCGTACGGACAAGTAGACGGCATTATCGGGTCGTAGAAATCGAAGAGGGGCGGTTATCGTAACGCTATAATAGCACAGGTCTCGAAGGAATAGTTAGCACTACGCTAGTTAGTCGAATAGGGGTTCGGTAAGGTAACTAATAGCTAGCTATTCTTCGAATATAAGAAGGGGTTACGTACTAGTCTAATGCCGATAGAGTCCTATTATCTAGTCGCTATATTGCTTACTAACTGCCTGTCTTGTTATCGTAGAAACAAGGTCGCCGCGCACTATAGCTTAAAGTGTCCGGATATTAGGGATTACTTAGGTGCTAAGCTGCTACCTATGCCGCCGGTAGACGCTAAGGTGCTAGATCTAATACGTATAAACCCTTCTAGTAATGGACTAGAAGTCGGAAGTAATATAGAAGATATAGGCGATATAGTTGTTAACGATAGCGAGGAAGAATAGTAATAGATTGAGGATTATATAATATTATACTATTTCGCGTTCTCTCTATTAATTATCGGAGTAGATACGGAAGAGCGTCGGAGGGCCGTTTTCCTATACTATAGCTATATAAATTGCTCCTACGTATCTTAGTAATAGATAAAGACGGAGAATAGCGGGGGTTGTATAAATTTCTAGAATTAGTCGAAATTTAGTCCTAGTACTTAGTATTATAACTAATAGTATCGAAGGCAGCAACAACTATGCTAAAGAATTCGTATTTCTACTGCGTTTCTTACTAACTCCGGAACTAAGGGGCACTCAGAATACTATATATAGTACGCTTTATTTAGTTATTTTTAATTAGGTCTAATACCTCGATTATACGAACATCTACGCACTAACGACTATTAATATCTAATATCTAACGCTTCTAATATCTATAAAACAGTTCTATCGCTATCGTAGCCCTCGTTACTATCTCCTATCGGCGCAATAACGTTAGCAACGAGGTTGTCGTCTAAGCTAAAGTCAGTAATCTGCGACAACTATAAAGGAACGAGAGGAATATATCTAATACGGCCGACAAGAAGGGCTCTTAGCTTATTGAATTAACATACCGTAGACGCGTATATTAGCTTTATACGCTTCTTAGAGCGGTTGTCTAAATCGTCTATTCGGCGGATTAAATAGTAGTTGTTTGTTGCCTTAGAATAATAGTTAGCTCTTAGCTAGTTTGCTAACGTAGTAATTGCCTCTCGAAATAGCTCTAATACTCGGCTTAACAACCTCTCCTTATTTAGCTGTTTCTTACTATCGATATATAACCGACGGCGCGCTGTATATAGTGTTCTAACTAGAGTATTAGATGCCTTAGAAAGAGCCGGATTTGGTAATAGAGTTAAAGGTAATAGAGCAATAACTAGACTCGGTATCGATAGATCCTAAAGCCGCTAAGATATAATACGGAGTATATTGTCTTGTACCTACTAAGCCGGAGTCTCGTACGTACGGAGCTCGTTAGTAGTTAGTAGCTTCTCGCGGAGCTTCTTATTATTATGCAATATAGTGTCCTTAAAGCGATTAAGTGTCTGTTTGAACTCGGAGTCGTTAACTACAACTATACCGAAAGCAGTAAGAAGGGCTCTATACTCGAGAATACGCTTTGCAATCTACCTACGAACAAGGCCGTCTATGCCTCTAATTGTACGTTGTCTAGCAGGTCGGTTGTCGTTATACTATTTCTAATAGCGCTTTACTATGTCCCTTATTCGACCTTCTATATAATAGCTAGAATTGGCCTCGAAGTGCCTAATAATTAGTAAGGCAAAGTCGTCGGAGATCTTGCTATCGCTATTAACTCGATTGTAGTCGTCTTTTATACTACCTTCTTCTACCCCTTTAGTAGTAGAAGGCTAAGAGTCGACTGAATCTAGTATAGGTTATTAAACTATAACCTATTGTTGCCGCTAAGTATAAGCCGTTAAAGAGGTATCTATATCTCTCGTAATAACTAGTCTTAGTAGAGTTGAATTTGGCGTCTATTTAGTCGCTATACTGCTATCGCTATCGCTATTAGTGTCGCTTGAATTAGTTAACAAGCTCGCTACGGACATAGAGCGACTATATAGCCGCTTAATAACCGACTAAATTATAGGTAATAGACTTCCGACTAGGTATAGCTATATTAAAGATATATCTATATAAAGAGGGTTACCTTAGAGAGCTACTCGGACAGGTATAGGCGGTGCCTATAGTAGTAGGTAGACTAGTATAGCGAATGCTAGAGTTAAAGAGCCGGAGCCTAGGTCGATAATACGAGAGGGACAAGAGGGGGTATCTATAGTAGCTATAATCGAGAACAATAGTAGTTATACTAATAAACTAAGACTTCTACTGCTTCCGTAGACGCCTCTTATCCTACGGACGATATACTATAATCAATCCTCGAATTTAGGTTCTATTTAGTAGCCCCCTATTACTAATTATACTAACGGCTATATACCTAGACCTTTATATATATAAGTTAGTACCCTCTCGTACTATCTCGAAGACCTAATAGCCACTTTCTACCTTACTGTCGCCGGTTATAGTGCATAGCTTATTATTCGGTAGTACTAAGTCTGCTAAGAAGCTAGTTTAATAAGCTAAGCCGGATAGGGTTTAAGCCCCCTTCTACCTCCTTCTACTTCCGGTTAAGGCAGGATCACCACCTATGCGAGTTGTGAATATAGCGTGTTATATGCTTTTGAACGACTCCGTTCAAAAGCACGGTCTAGGCCTACGAGTTGATAACTCGCAGGGGTGGAAAACCAGCCTTCGAAGGATGCGGCAGTAACCCTCGTATCCACCTTGTTCGCCGACCTCGAGAGACCCCTGCAATTTGGTGGCTTCTGAAGGTCCCTAATAGCAGTAGCTTCCCAGCGTGGGAGAGAGGGCGCAGTAGTAGCATTAAGCATTAAGCTCGAAGTCAATAATGTCCTGAAAAACACTTTCCGTTTGCGAAGGGATCGGATTGAACCGTCTGACTAGCACTTTGGGTATTAACCTGCTGCCGCGCCTTCTTGCTCCCTCTTCCATTTCTGAGCCATCATCATAAGCTTATTGACCTTAGCCGAGCTCTCATCATCAGCCGGGAAGACATAATCCATATACTCCTCGAAAGAATCATCATCCAACTTTCTCCTCTTCTTGACCTTGCGTGGCAACATCTTGGCGACCTTTTCGATGTCTTGTTCGCTGCCGTGAGTATCTTCGAAGCTCTTCCAAGCATTGAGTAAGGATACACGCTCTTCAACGAGTGCTTGGTCCCTGTAGAGCTTGTGCGCTCGTTCGAATGTCTTGCGAGCGCGCGTCTTGGCGGCTTCAGAAACGGTCGCTTCCTCTGAGACTTCTTCTGCATCTGGCACGTTGAGCTCGAAATGAGCATATGATATCCAGACTTTGACGTGCTCGGTCTTCTGGAGTAGTCGTTCGTAGAGATCGCGAGTCTTGTCGTAGGCGCCTTCTTCTTCCTCGAAGTCAATGTATGCTTTCCATACCAACTCGGGCATGTCGAGCACGTCTTGCTGGATGGCGAGTTCGAAGATGGCTCTCGTACGGTCCAAGTCTTCCAGACCGTGCTCCAACTCTGCGAACTTGATCCAAGCTTGGCTGTTCGATGGGTCAAATTCTATCCATTTCTCGTACAGTGTGCGACATCGCACAAACTCGAACAGTTTGAGTTCCATCTCGATATAGGCGCGGAAAAGCTTGTTCTTTGGGCACATACCGATTGCCCTGCCAACAGTCTTTCTGGCTTTGTCGAGCTCCTGCCTTCTCAGATGGAACTGTGCCTTCAAGACCCATAGCTTGGCGAAGGTGAACTTTTTGTGAGGAACAATCTTCAATGTTTTTATAGACCTGTGGCGCATC